GCACTGGAAGCTATTGTGATTGTCTGCCAGACATTTCCAGCAGAGTTTTTTTGCTATAACCACTTTTCTCTTTGCGTGTGCATCAGTTGCTTTGCATACCGTGCCTAAATGATCTCTGCTGCAAAATATACATTGTCGTACTTTGCTTCTGGTATCTTCTTTATGGTGAAAATCCTGAGGTTTTGGTGGTTCTCTTCCACGGTTTCTCAGTCTGGAATCTACAAACATTTTTGCCGAGATTTCCTTATCGAATTCCTTCATTAAATTCTCTATTGTGACCGATCCTTTTTGCTGAACGGTTTTGAGCACGCTTCTTACAATATTTTGTGGAAATTTTTCTATAATTTTTTCCGTCCACAGAGCATCGTTACTTTGCCGGATGTCTTGGCCGGCGGATACCATTTGATTGATGAGGACACGAATTTTGTCGTATCTGTCCATGCAACTCTCCGCGGAGCCATTTGCAGGTAGCATATCCTCTAATTTTTGCACAATTCTTGTGCGATTTATCGGTTTATTACCGTATTTCCTTTTGAGTTCCTCAGTCATCCATGTATAATTCTGTGGAATTAGTTGTATACCTTTCAAGTTAGCTCAGCCCTTCCTCTGAGGCTGTCTTTAAGAAAGAACATTTTTTCTACTGTGGTCAAACTTTTGTTTTGATCCACTAATGTGTTAAAAATACCCCAAAATTCGGGAAATTCTTCTTCATCTCCATAAAAGCGTGGTAGCTTCATTTGATGGAGTTTCAAACTTTGACCGGCCATTTCGTTACCATCTGTCGCATTTCGGCTGTCATCAGAACTGTCCTCTGTAAGCCAGGCAGCTTCTGTTGGATTAATTACCTCATCAGTGCTTTTACTCTGTGTAGGTCTCCCAGGATCCGATAATATTTCGGTCTGGGATAGATTGCTGGTTATACCCAACTTTCTCGCCATTTTCTCGGCGTAATTCTGCGCTTCTGATAGTCTTTTGGTCAATATGCACACCAATTCGGTGGCGTTGGCCATATGCTCGATAAAGTTTGTCTCGATTTCTACCTCTTCCAAACTTTTATCCGCATCTCTTTTATCGAGCTTTTGGGCTTCTGTGTGAGCTCGCAGCAGTTGGTCTATTAAAGACTGCAGCGAATCCTTGCTGATTTGGATGGCGTTTATGGCACCCTTTATGCTGTTACATGTTTCGTGGCACGCTTCATAGTTGTCCTCAAATGAAGCGTTCAGTTGCATTTCCTTCGCATATGGTGTGAATTTATCCACAAATGATTGAAGGGATTCTATGCCGCGAGTAATGGCTTTTTTATGTATAAACATCGACATTGCTCGAGGCGTTGTCGTAGTTCAATTCCACAAAGGATAGAACTGTTGATGCGCTGCTTACCGCAGGGCTAGGTATTGGCTCAGAAATTTGGCCGATGCACCAGAATTGTGCCACTATAGGGCAACTTATAACTGGGAGATAACACAACACGTCGCTATGAACGTTTATTGTGACACTAAGGAAGCTTACAACAGAAAAGCCCCGTTGACCCCCGAACCCGCCCGCTTTACTGCGGGATGATTAATGTATAGGTCGGTTCGGCCACAATACGTAGCAAATGGCCGAACAGCACATCTAACAAATCTAATTTTCAGTAACAGATCTTGAATTCGACCCAACTCAAGCACATAATCCGATTATAATGATTAGCAGGCTGTTTTCGCCCATATCGTCACTGTTAAAGCCAAAAAAATCAAGAAAAAGAACTATAATTCAAGAAATGATATAACACCCCTGGACGACAGCTGATCTGAGCTGACGTAGGGATCAAGCATAAATACTACTGACATGTGATGGTGATAAATGAGGCAAAGATCAGTTTTTGAGGTTTAGCGGTCGAAAGTCAAAGTCTCATCACCCGAGAAGCTGATTTTGAGATTAGCAGTCCACTTGGCTTTGAAGAGAAGAACGAAAAATGGCTCGAATCAAGATCTGACACTTTGCATTTCATACAACATATTCAGTTCATCACTATGTTACGAACTGGATTTCCGTCGGTTTTTGCAAATTTTTGGTTCTGACTGTATGATTGATGATTATGTTGATTAGGTTGTTACACAAGACTGAAAGAGGAATGAAAATGGGTAGGAAGTGTCCAAGAACTTTTTCATTGATTTGTTTATAAGGAACAGAGTTCACAAGAGTGCGAAAGTACTTCAAAATTGCAGAAAATCACATCTAGAAAATCTAGTTTGCCACTAAGTTCATCAACCTCGAAGGCGCAGAAATATCGATTTCCGGGTAGTCTTTTTTTTGGAGAAACAATATTGTAATGGGGAATATTACAGCAAGAAGTCTCTACGATGTCCTTTCTAGATTTCTTGTCCGCTGGGACTTTAAAAAAATCCGCCTTGGCTTTGTTTCATGTTGTGCACATTTAGAGCCAGAAACCAAAGCCATATAGAGATCGCAATTAGAAGGCAAAAAAAACCTTTCACCATATAAAGTACACCAATTGTCTCCAATACAAGCAGCGCAAACAAAAACTCTTCCGCTTCTATTGTGCCCTATTTGGCATTGAAGGGTATTTTAGCGAATACGCTGACTTGTAGCCCATTGTTGAGCTTTTCTTTCACAAATCGTATTATAGGCACCCCAAGAATTTTGAATAGATCTATGATTTTCTGTAACAAACGCGAACAAGTTTACTTTAAAGTTTACTTAGTCATTATAAAAACTAACCTCAGCGTGGTCTGGTAAAGTATAGTCGTCCTCCCCCCACTACTCAGACATTTTTTGCGGCCACCCGCGCGCTCATGGCCGGCTGGGCGAAAACCCGTTCCGGGCCTTGCCCTGCCATGCTAGCGCGGGCCAGCGACGGCTCCAGCGTGTGCGCGACCCTGTCACCCGGACGAGCGGGCCAGCCTGTATTTCAATGTCTCCTTTGTCTTGTTGGCCCGCGCTAGCATAGCAGGGCCTCTAGGGTTGGGTTTCGGCTCGGCTGCACCTGCATGCACAAGTCACCTCAAATGTGGATACAACCCATGTGAAATCAAAAATAGTGGAAATCGTTCCTGCTTCACACTACTGATACTACACGAGAGTATTTGGAACTCTATCAACGGTCAACTCATAAGGAAACCTGTTGTCAGCCTACATGCAAGTGTTACACCTTCTGCAAGCTCCGATGGCATCCCTTTTACTGCGTCGTATGTCACGCGAGTAACTCTTGTGCTTACAACGTGCGTTAATTCATATGGATGAGCGGGTCGCTGTCAATTTCGGCATGCGTGTGATGAGTGCGCGGGCCGCCAGTGAAATTATGGGCCTAGACAGGCGCGCGGGCCACCGTCAGCATGGCATCAACTATGTGCGCGGGTCGCCAGCTCGCACCTTTGGGCCGCTGCTGGGCCTGATGCATGTAAGGCTGATATTTAGGTGCCGCGGCTCAAAAGCGAAGCCCAGTTGGGCGACCGGGCCACTGCAACAATTGTCTGAGTAGACACCTAGTGGACGAATTCGAATCTAAACTAGAGCACGCCGGCTGCAGCAGAGCGCGGCACCGTCAAATGCATTTCAAGCTAATGCAGTTTTCTTTTGTCTTTTATTGTCGTTCATTGTAATTTTTTTTTTTTGTTTTGATGATGACTGTAATCAGAATTGAGGAGTTTTTGTTGCTTAGCAATGTTTCATACTACTGTGCTCGTTTCTTTATTCTGTTTTCAGGAAAGGCTGGGAAAACATGAAGTTCAATGAAGCAACACTTCAAGACTTAGCGAGAACAATTTCACCAGTTTTCAAACTCAATCGTTTTTCCAAGCTCAACTTGGAATCGTAGTCAAGGAATCGAGCATAGCAACAGGATTCGCTCAAATAAAAGCAACAATTCCAATAAATGTCATTCAAAAATTAGGTTGAAATATCGCTTAAATACAGAAAAAATTCGTTCGAGATTGAAGTGAGAGCTGCAAGTGCCGCTCTCTGCCTAACCGTCGTGCTCTACTTCAAATTCGAATTCGTCCACTAGGTGTCTGGTGGGGGGAGGACGACCTATAAACACTTCTCGACAAGATTTGCGCATAGGTTGGACATAGTACGCAATACGTGATGTGCTCTATATAGCCACTTTTTCCGCGCAAATGTTGTTGGCGCCGCAGCAACACCATTTTTACGATAATCACCAGACTACAGATCAACTAGATCATCCGGATGGCCATAAGATAGCCGGTTAGGCAGCGTAAAGCAAAGAACCATCTGAGTTATTATAAGCCACACGAAGACAATTAAGGCACGTCAAATCAGATGAGAAGGCTATAGAAGGCATAGATAAGAGCAGACAAAGTTTAAATGACCATTATTTCTAAGCCATTATTAGCGACTTTTTCCTGGCAGACAGATACAACTTGAAAAAAAAAAACAGTGAAAACTAGAAATTTGACATCAACTCTTTTGAAGCTTTGATTACTAATGCTAGGCATACATCATACAGAGCAAGTAATCTTCAAACTGAATGGTCCCGTCATAATCAGTCAAAAGTTTAGATTAAAGTATTATGTGGGAAATATTTCACCTATTTTTCAGCCTTCCTGAAAAAAAAACTGATGTCAAACTCAAAAACAATTTGCAAAGAAAGTATATTCCATCATCATTTTTACTTCATATAAACTCGTTTTTCATCAGAGCAAATGACTTATTTTGGGCATAACAATTGCAATGAAAATGTGTACAACAACAAATACAAAGTGAATGGAAGAAAAATCACAGAACAAAGTGAAATGCTATGCAAAGGCAAGAAAACGAAAATGCCAACTTGACAAACACGGGCGACGGAAGAGATAAATGTTAATACCCTGAGTTTAGTGCAAAGACGTGTGATAATAAGTGATATGAGCTCCGTAAAGGCAAAGTTGATATGAAAGATTAAAATTAAATGTTCAATGCTCAACAAAATGAAAACAACGTACAGATAAAAAAAAATGAAAACATCAAATAAAATGCACAAAAATAGGAATAGATGATTATCACATAGCTGTTTCAATCACGGGTTTTCTCGCTCCTCTCGGAGATTCAGTTAAGGGATTATAGAGATCTACAAGTGAACGCTGATTACCGGCACCCAGGGTTCCGCGGTAAGCCATCGATGCAGCCGGTACAGCTGGGGCACTTGTCTGGTAGCTTTGCAAATTGGGATTTGACCGGCTAGGAGCCAGGCGTGGTGAAGACTGGTACCGAGGTGGTGGTTCCGGACGAGGTGGCAGCAGTCGCCGATTCTGGACCGTATTATCGGAGACATTGGACGAGTGTTCACTCCAAGAGCCTTCCGTGAGTGTGGAGTCTCGTTCTAAACGCCAAAATTGATATTTTTATGCCTGAAGAACTAGGGAACCTTTGAAATGCGGAAATCTTATGAACATAGCGTTTTACGATTTTTGGTTCTCAGAAAAAGAATCTTCCAGCAAGGCACCCTATGCAAATACAAGCAAATACATATTAGGCTGTTAACTTTGTTAAGTTTTAATCGAATCCGTTCGAATTGAATCCGTAACTTTTCGCTTTTTGATATTGGCGCAGTCAAATTTTAATACTTTATAGACTGTGGTGTGAGCTATAAACTGGCACAAACCACTCGCTTTCATGTCAAAATATAAAAAATATGAGTTTTTTCGAAAACAATTGAAATCCAAGGATTTATGAGGTTTTGAGTAAATATAAAGCCGTTCTTTACCTGGATCATGCACGACAATTCGAAAGTGTGCTTATATTGCTGCTAGAGCTCGACTCATTTAGTGCAGTAAGGAAGAAATAAAATTGAAGACAACTCAAGATTTGGCGTTCTCACAAGGTTGAACGAATCACTTTACGCAAAGCTGGTTGAGGACACACGCCAGTCACTTAAAATTCTACAAAACTTTGCATGCTTGGATTCTTTGCCCTGCCGAATACGAATATGATTTTCATTCATCAAATTAACGCCTCTTCTCTTGTTTAGAGTGAGAATCCATACCGTGAGCGCCTGCTGTAACCTTACAAAAAAGCCCCTACCATGCAGAACCAAAATTTCGCGATCAGCATGTCAGATAACCCATCTACACAAAGTTTCAGCCGAGTTTCTAATAATCTACAATTTTTCCCCTTATATCATATATCTACCTACCATAACTCTCACTGCGACGTCAGAATTTTGCAAAATTGTGGCTGCTCTTGTAGCTTACGTCACGGCCTACACGACGGGAGAATTTGAGTGCGTCGTATGCAAAGAGAGAGGAATTGTAAAAGTAGTTGCAAAACTTAATTAAGAACCTAATATTTGTCAGATGGTTCCGTCTCGACTAATTTTCTTTTATTGTTCGCACTTTGATTGTCAAGCTGTGTGACAACACCTGCACTTTGCTTTGCATACTCATTGTGTTGCGCTGCGTGCGATGAAATTAACAAGTCAATAGGAGAGGAAAGGGGGGGGCAAAATATGCCTCTTATAATTCGCTTTTCAACAAGGGATGGGTTACTATAAAAGAAAGACACATAGGTTTCAGGATCAGGACAGGTTATGAAAAGTCATTTGAATTTCTATAACAAGAGATAAATTGAAAAAACTCGAACACCTTTCCAAAAAGAAAAGAAACCATCAGCTACAGATAACAACTCAGTAAAACGCTGGACACCAACCTAACAACTCAGTGAAAGCTGGACACCAACCTGACTCAGTCGGACAGGTAGAGCATGTGCCTGTCATCGTAGATGAGTAAGTGGTGTCAGAACGTGGATCTCGTATTCGTACATCCTCACGTGGCTTAATGGGCGTTTGAAAAGTGTTCATTGCAGGAATCTCCTCGTATGGATTTGGATTTGATGACACTTTGTGCCTGTAAGTGAAACATACACAAATGAATAATATTTGCACAATGGCTTTAGCTCCAAAGACGTTGTTATTGAAAGTGCATGGCGCGCGAGAAATATAATCGCTAGGATAACACACCTCATTGACATTCTTCCACTATAGTACCCTTCAGATGACAAGTCACTGTAGAGCTTTGTTCGAGACTGCGTGGTGTTTGTAGAATACGACGTCGACATTCTGCATATATAACCAAAGCTGTACTCAACGAATGTATGAGAGAAAAAAGAAAGAAAGAAAAAATTAAGACATTTAGAAAAAAGTACATTTAGAAAAATTAAGAAACTTTGGACGTAGACAAATGAAGAAGGAAATGTATAACGTACTTGGAAGTATCTGTCATCAAAGTCCGCTCATATGCCGTACGATCTGTCGATAATGAGTCAGAACACTCCGTCCGAACTGTTTCAGTGGGTGAACGTGAGCTGGTCACACGTCCACGCATCATATTTCTCAAACAGAGGGAATATACAAGATTTCAGAAACAAAGATAAAAAAATGATATAATGTGTGAAGCCAGGCGAGAGTCGAAATAAGATTTGTTTACCTGTGCGCCACAAATGGATCCCCATATGCGTTTATCGTTGTTGATGATAGACTAGCCTTAGCTGACTGATGTGAAGGAAGTGATTTCGCTTGCCGAGCTGAGGCTTTCCTAGAGGTATAGATAGTCAAAATACTTGCAAAGAACGTCAAGCACAACATACCTTTGCAACTTGATGCTAGCTCGAATTATGTTCTTCCTCTCTATTATATCCTCGTTTCTTCTGCGAGACTTTATACACCAGCATAGGGCCAAAAGGAACAATATAGCTAATAAGATTCCAATTATCACAACTGCAATGATGATGCCAGCACGCCAGAGGACTGGTTCGATATATGGTTGAGTTCCTTAAAAAATGAAAGATGCTTAGCAGGTATTAATAACAGACCGATCAACCAATTACCTTTCTCACATACGAATGGCATCAAATTGTTGCAGTTTTGTGAGCCAATTTTACCCGTTCTGGTACTGAGCCAGCCACATTGAGTAGATGGAATTGTGACGGAAGATATCCATATGACAGTGTCAGATCGCAGCTATAACCTAACTCATCGAAAAACAAAGAAAACGAAGTGACATCCAGAAAAAAGTCAAATCTGGGATGGTGATAGGGAAGAAAATTCCTCACCGCAAATGAGTCAAATCGCTCCGGATCTGTCAAGTATTGCTGCATGAACTGGTCGATCCTCTGAGCAATCTGCCTCTGCCGAACATCATCTGTCCGAAGATATGGAACGAATGCACCCATCGCTTCACAGTACAAGGTAGCATCAGCATAGGTGGCAACACCTCCCACAAAGAGGAAACAGGACTTGAACTCTTCAAGGCCAGCTTGGAACCAGCCTGCTGGGCAGTCTCCCTCCAACAGGGACGAGTTTGACTCCAGGATTGGTTGGTAATCAACCTGAAAATGGGCTCAACTTTATCGAACAAAGCCAAGTGCATGATACAAGAATAAGAACAAGAACAGAGAATATGAAGGCCTAATAAGCAGCTTCACCTTTATGAGGTAAGGATAATCCGAAAAGTCCCTGATCTTCCCAGCTGCAACGCTTTCCACTCCTGGGTAACCCCAATAATTCAGGCGAGCATCAATAGAACCGATATCGTACCTAAACAATAGCCATCAGGTAGTATACACAGACGATTTAGAAACATACTGTGTTCGTTTGGTAGTAGTCAACTCATATGGATTCCTTCTGTTGTTGAACACATTACCGCGATAACTTTGCTGTGAGCTTCCAGCTGCAAACAAAAACTGCACTCTGTATTAACCTAACGGTATGACTCCTTCTTCGGTCATAGCACCGATCACAGTCACTCTTCGCGCCTTGTTCCTCATGGCAGCTTTCCCCCACAAGAGTACTCCTGCTCATAGCAGAGGAAGTGAATAGCGGAATTGTGGTGTCACTCCATCCCTTCTTTTTACTCATAACGTCTTTTAGCTATTGGCGAAAAAAGCCATAATATCAATAGTATACGGGTGACTGTACAGACCTAAAGAGTCGATAAAAAAACAATCAAGCAGCTCTTACCAAGTATTGTACTCCTGTATCTCTCTGTTTCGCTGCCAACATGGGTCCACCAATCAAAGGATATTCCTTCTTGGTTGATGATCTGCAAAGATTTTCAAAAAATGTAATTTTAGCTCGTAGAGAAAAGGAAAACAATGATAAGACTCTTTGAACGAAAGCAACGATAAAAGGATCAAACCCATGCATTGCAAATGATTTTAGATACGCAAAGCTAAACTAATACGAACGATGATTAGAAGGGCTTAAAACCGAGTTATCAACTAAAAATACCCAAGCACCACAAAATAAAAGTTCGATAAATTCTCAATGACTTTGAGCTCACCTGTCTTCTGGGCCTCCGTAAAAACTCGTCGTGATCCTTCTCTGGTTGATAGCCGTAGTCTTCCTAGAAATATACAAAGTTAAGCAATCTCTTATAAACATGATAGGGCTGTTAAGCGCATAGAAAGAAGGCTATAAGCGCTGCAGTTACAGTAATCGCGAAAATTTGAGCTCGAATATACCTCCGTATAGCAGTAACAGTTCGCAGAACATGCTAGTTCACTGCACTCTCACAATTTTGCTTAGTTTGCAGAATTGCGTTCTAATATTAATCAATAGCGCAAATAATCACGAGGGAGCACAACCCCGCAAAATCGTGCAGTTTCAAATGGGGACGAAAAAATGCATGACTAAGTGCTAAATGATTCAAAATCAGTACAGAATTGGATGAAGCAAAGTTGAAATTGATGATTGCGTTCATAACGAAACGTCAAACCTACCATGTAGGGTTGACCATGACCAAGTGCAACATTTTCCTCGAAGTTATTGTACAGGAATGTTTGTGTCTCGGATGTTATGCGCGAGTATCTAGAAGAATCCGGGTTCTCTACAACAGTGTTCGCGGTAGTATGAAGTACAATTACCCATGCGAGTCCACAGTATGCCAACCAGTGTTGCCATAAAACAAGTTTTTTGTTAAGTTCACGGACATATCTTCGATCTTCATGGTATCATGGTAGAGGGCATAGTTATGTGATATGATGTTATTAAGCATTGTCACCATCTGAAAAATCCGTTTGAGTGAAAATCGTGCAAGAAAACAATGAAACTTCTTACCTGATAATTATTGCCATATAGGGTCAAAGTAGTGCCATTATTGTTCCAGGTGAACAGATTGTTCTTAATGACAGCATTCAAACGAGCGACAGATGAAGACGATGTGGCCGATACTAGGAGTCCGCCGATATTATGTGTCAGCGAGTTGCCACGAAAGAGCAGGAACTGAATAACTCGTATGGAGCAAGAGAGAAATAATTTTATTGAAGAATACAGGCACTTACCATAGTATTGTGCAGATGGAGTTCAACCGCATGATGAGATGTCGATATGTTTCCAAACAGATGTATATTATTTCGGCTAAGCGAGCACTCTTCTGTAAAAGAACTAATGATTCGAGGTGAAAAAAAAGATTTAGGCAACCCGCTTATGATCGTTCAGTCGGGTAAAGTCAGCACCCACAAGTAAAAGGGACCACAAGTTCAACACTAAATCTTCTTGGCGCCCATCAGCACAATGCTAATCGACAACCGACAATTTTTAGTAGCTTGCAAGCTTACTGGATCTTGAAATTTGCAATCTACCACTTAGACTATCAAAAGGCATTTGTTTTCTTCAAAAGAATTTCATGGAACCAAACCGACATGAGAACAACTTGTACAAACACAGCTACCACACTTACCAATGACAACTGCAGGACTCATCTCACCGGAGTTGTGATAGACTATGGCACCTTGATCATTGTTTTCTATACGCGACCCTCGAACAACAATCTGGTCTACAGCACCTAAAAGGGAAATTCATTGTCTTTGTCGGTACGGTAGAAAAAACTTAAGTTCTAACTTACTTGAGTCGGGGCTGCTAGGTATGCTTGAGATCTCGGCAATAAATCCGTACTGACCATCGGCAGCAGTGCCACGAAAGTGTAGAGCAAGGACATCAGCGGTAACCGCTTTTGAGAATGGGGTGGATTCTCGATCCAACCTGAAAATTCAAATCGTCTTACAACAGACAAATTTCGAGGCGACCAATGTCTACCGGTATTCCGCCAGCAATGTCACCGGCATGAACTTTATCGACGCGTAAACTCTCAAAGCGTCGGATCTGCCTAGATCCGCTGGTGATGAGTAGAGATTCACCTGGATAGGTAAGTAGTCTGGTAAAAGAAAAGCAGTAAATAGAAAGGCCGCTACCTGCAGGAAACGAAAGGCAACTTTTCGACCCGGTGAAGAGAAAATCTTGACGCAGTCGACTGGTATTGTATCGTACTTATAATACACCTAGAAGTTATGAATTTAAAGGTACTAAAAGTTTTCTTCGTTGACTTACCAGAACGCGGTTGCTGATTTGCAGCAACTTATTCGCTGCACACATATCAACCATTCCAAGCGAGTAGTAAGGGATTGTCAGAGGTTGAAGTGGGATATCTACAATGACTCGTCAGCAAAAATTTAAATGATAATCTCAGCGATCCAAACTTATTCGACATAATAGGGTCGAGAAGTATAAACAAGTAGTTGTGGAATTACCGGACTGAGTGCAACTGCGCAAAAAGCAAATTCAAAAAAACATACGGGTACAAAGCAAAGTGTAAACGATCCCAAGAACAATCTGATTATAGCTGATCTCTTACCTGCGTTAGCGTTTCCTGATTGAAGACTGGCAGTTGTGATGCTTACACCAATTCCGCCATTGTTCGTCACATTCACCATATTCAAAATGACTCGTTCTCGTGGCGAGATCACCTGGAACACAAGATGCTAAGAAAGTTACGATGACTTTAGAAACATTTCTTAAAATCACAACGTTAGGAACTTAGGAACTTTTCCGTAGACGATGCTTGAGTATTCGCGCCAGGACCAATTTACCTGTATAGCGTGCATACTGCTGTTTGTTACATTGACATGATCAATTATCGGTGATCGATAAAACATCTGTAATCCAGCCGATTGGAAGCTGTCGTTATGTCCAGATCCGCCACCCACGATCTCGACATTTCGAAGCACGGAGCCATCGGAAAAATCAATATATCGATCGACCGTTCCAAAGAGTGAAGGAGTATACCAATCCTACCTTTTCCAGGAAGCTGATCGAGTTCCAGAGATGCGCGACCGAAGCTGATACCACCCCAACCTCCGATGTAAATTCTGTAGAAATTTCTTTTCAGTAAGCTTCAATCTGAACCTAAAACACTTACGGATCCAAGGTTGTGTTCTTTCCACAGTAAATGTAGTTGTAGTGCTCATTGTCCAGGCATTGCCATTGTGAGTCGTTGCCCGTCAGTCGAAGGTTGCACCTGTGCATAGATCGATATATCGATTGATTTTTCAAATAAAGACGGATGCAAGAACTTTCCGCGCTTGCGAACTTCCACGAAACCCCTTATTTCTTATGCATACCTGTCTAGAGTTTCTTCATCTCCTCTGCATTCTCTTGGCTCCACATAGGTTTTTACTAGGCGGATTCGGGGGTTATAATCCCATCTCGGGGTTAGCCAGTGATAGGCATTCATCGTTTGGAGTCCTAGTTCTCGGCAAACAACCTAGATGAAACTCGAATACTTTGGCAAAATTCTTTTGGTCATACTCTTGAAAAATGAACCTCAAGAAATGAACCCAAGAATGGCACAATACGTTGTCACATGGTACAACAATTAAACTGATGGGTACATTTTTTTGATTCTATGCGTTTAGTTTGTAGTTAGGTTTTGAGGTGACAGCCCTATATGAAGTGAAGTAAATCCTGGATCAGCCAGGAAATTTTCATTCCTGGTGAATTTGGAAATTATTCTACCTATGAAATGATGTTGAGCTAAAGCTCTGATAGAATATAAAATTCAAGTTTAACTACCTGTGCATTCCTTACTGAAAACTGTCGGTCACACGACGGAACTACTTCTCCAGTTGTAGCATTGTAGATCTGAATTCAAAGAGCATAAATCAGCATCGTCTCAGAAGTTTGAGGGAAAGTTGTATGTCGTGCTTTACGCATACACAATTTTTTCCTAATCACACTACTCCTTTACCTACTACGAATATTGGAAGTACTACTACCATTACTGTGTTTGGTCACTTCACTTAAATCTGGTGTTGGTTGTGGGGATTGCTTGATGATACACATTTGCTAAGCTGACAGATGACTACGTTTGGCCTTTTTATAGGGAATTTTACCTCCAAAAATCCAGCTCGATGCGGAATGGAAGTATTAGCAAAGAGCCGTATAGAGAATCGCTGATAGTAAGGATCTTCGCGGTACAGCTGTGGAAATTGTTGATAGATATCGTCGGTTCTAGCTCTGGAACGCAAAAATCACAATTTTCAAACTAAATTTCCTCGGAGAAAGAAAAAACACAAATGCATGTTCCAAACCTGTTGGCTCTCTTGGTTCTCCACCACTTTTCTACTCGAAGGCTGACATCGCTTCGTTTATAGCGTCTATGTAGGAACCCAGACATTCTTTTATATCTGGTGCCGATTTTCCCTCGCATTTCATCGTATTCAGTAGTGTTGATCGGTTTGAACCTATACAAAAAAGTTTTTATGAGCTTGGTTTTCAATATAAAAGCTCAGATATTACCTTATTGGCTCCCAGTAAGTCCCATCAGCAATCAGATCTCCAAGAACGAGGATGCGGACATTTGGCCAGACATGGACTTCCACACCCTTTTCTATCCACAGTGTTGCGCCAGGCATGATAGTCAGATCCCTGGTGATACGGTAGGGGCGGAATGGCTGGAATAAAAAATACTCATATTCTATTGTAATACTTCATTTGAAAAAATCTTCGTTTTAAAAATGGTAAAAAATTATGTAGAAGCTCCGCCTTCCCACTTCCTCGAAGTTGGAGGCGAGTTCTTTTTTCTCAGATGGCCTAAAGTTGTAGAAATGTAAATTGTATAAAAATAACTTTATAAATCTATAAGCATCAGATTACTTATATGGAAAAATTCACAAACTCGAAAATTTGTAAAAACACCCAAAAAAATTTTTGGGAGGCTAAACAACCCATTCTCCTTTTTCCGAAAAACGTTTTGTCGCCTTCCTTCTTCTCGAAGAGAACAGTCAAAGCAGTTGGAAGAGCAAAAGACATTAAGATTTTGATTTGGATTTTTAGACTTTTCCAATCAAATTTTTTTGATTCCTCCGCTCTTGCCATATAAGAGCCACTTTTCAATCTCTATTATTGAAAAATAGGGAAAAAGAGATCAAGTGTTGAGCTCCGTCCCCGGCGCATACTCCGCCCACATTGCAATGCTAACCTTGTAATAATGCGGAAATTGGTGCCATCGTTCTCGTATCAATGTCAAGTTCTTCGACTCATACATTCGACCTTTCAAATCGTGTACAGATGGTTCGCTGTAGCTTGCGTTAGCCAGCTGGCCCTAAAATTTGTAATCTTAAGAATAAGGGGGAGCGGGATTCATTGCAGTCAACTCACTTTTCTCGGTTTCCACCAGAAGTTGATGAAAAGCTCGTTGGTCACATAGAATGGAGTGTAATTGGCTAAGGTGTATGTATTCCAGTCATCGAAATCAAACACTCTTTGTGCCACTTCGGCATCATTGCCAGTCCCCCACCAGTTGTACGAGACATTCATGCGGTCATCAATCGATATGTACTAAAAATCAGTCAATAGAAATTTGTTATAATAATACACTTAATAAAATCATTATCAATCCAACTTGCACTTGATACCACTGTTTTGATCAACACAAAGGGACCGATTTGCCAGACTCTCATGATTATATCTAATTGCTGTGAAACAGTAATTTTCTTTAACTTTGAAGCAAAAAGCGGATACTACACGTAGACGATTTGTGTTCTTCAGGTAAGGGAAAATGAGTCAAAAATTTACTGTTCGCTTTTTTGATCTGAAAATAATTTCTTCTAACTGCTACTATAAGAATAAGAACGATTTTTCGAAGTATGTGTAATTTCGAGATTTCTTCCTCAGAACTATAGTACACTTTCAAGCATTGTAAAACATTTACCAAACATAAGTCAGGGGGATAATTTGTGCGAGTTTTTGCTTATCTAGCCCCTCCTACCCCCTCCCCCGATTCCTGAAAATTTTCCAGCTTAATAGCGCAATAGGTTAGTAGTTAGAATATCAGTCTAACTTGTAATTTTATTAAAGGTACGAGGCGTTTTTGTTTTGAGAAAAAACATGTAGATGTGAGGAGGAGAGTCTCTTAGTGAAGAAAGTTTTAGAAAAAAATTCGATTCTGCTAAAAAAAACTTGAGTTTGCTCTCAACGTCTACGCTTTGTGTTTAATTTCCTTCGGAAGATCGGTTCTTTTACCTCATTAACAAAAGAAGTTGTTTCCCTTGTTCTTTATATGATACGAGAAACGGAAATTTCTCAAAAAAAAACATTTGTATTACCTTGCATCCTGAGACAACTTCAAAGTCGATTAGTGGGTTTTTGAACTGATTAAAGTGAATGTCAGCCTTCTGCGAGCCAAAGATTCCTACTGCATATGACCTTGGCCAAGAATCCACGTAGTCTTCGTTTGCCTGAAAAATAAAACTTTTTTGTTGACAATAACTGATTTTCTAGGAGTTCATTTGACTAATTCAGAAAATGAAGGAAATTAACCTTGATGAAATAATTATGAAGGAAGTAGTTGTATTGGATATACGCATCAACTAGCAGATTCTTCACAGAATGTGATGTGATTCCCATTCTTACCAGCCAAGTCGCCTGAAAAAATCGATATATCGACTGCACATGCACCAATCACAAATTCAGCACCTTATTCGTCAAAAATCGATTCCGTTCCATGATCAGTTTCTTCTCCATTCCTCGCAGCTCCATAAGTCCTCTTTGCGAATAATTTTCCGTAAAATTATTCGAAGAGATGTTTGCGAATGCATAGTAACCGTCCAACAATATGTACAAATTATAGTTGTTTTCGAAGCGATTTTCTGTCATCTGCAACTGGATAATTTTTTTACCAAAATAGAATGTCAAAATAGCAAATTTACCCAAAAGCTGTGCTCCTGTTTGGCTAGAAGGTCGTAAATATCTGGAAGGCGAATTGCTACCCCACTGTTCGAGTTGTTCACAAATGTGTTGGACCTGCATCAATCAATTATCGATTCTCCCAGTAACTTCTGAATCTAAGTAACTTACCATATATTCCAGTGAAAAACATTAGCAGACGCGAAAAGATCTCTATGTGTTTCTATCACTGGTCCTCGATTATCAGCAATCGAACAGTTATCCAAGTGGTAATGGACCTGGAACCTACCATAATAAAAACAGTTCATCTCAAATGCAGTGTCTCTTTTGCGTGCGGCCACGCATCCGCAGCGGACTTTCGCGCGCAAACCACAAACTCGCTAAGGGGACGCACTCTCAAGGCGGAAACGCCGTAAGACTACGATCAAAACAGACTATACATGAAATCTGAATATCAGAATAAAACAAACATCTGAGATGGGCGTATTTGGCAGCACGGCATGCTGTGGTGAGTGAATCCATATAACGGCTTCTGAGTTCCTCGTAAAGTTCACCTAAAATACATAATTAAAATTCTTTTTACTATCGAGATCATGTAATAAGGGCCAGACGAAAACTCTCCCTTTTCTTTTCCCTTCGCCCTCCCCGCTCCTCTTTTCCACTCCCCTCTTCAACCTAGTCTAGACAAACCTTTTGGAACCACAACTTTTCATTGCTCCATCTGTTTGTTATGGTACCATCGGAGTAGGACAAGTTGCTGTAGTGCACCGAAGATATACCGTATTGATTGTCCTCCACTACCGACTGATAGAGATGAATAAATCGATCCAGGTACTCTTGTGCTAAAATATTTTAATCAGAAGATTTCGGCAATGTCAAGTAAAGATATCGCTAACCGTCGAGAAAGAGAACTAGAACTATCAATTTTGGAGGGCCATAAGACCTTGTGTATTGCATGGAAAGCACACTTGAGTTGAAAACGATTGGAAACTGGAAAAATAAAGTTGTAGTAAACCTCTGATTCAACAGGCTTGGCGGCTGGAAGGCGGTGCTCTGTGACCTAATTAACGAGGCCCGCGACGCAGTCTGCGTCTCTCCCGCGCGCGCTCTCTCTGCTAGCCTTAGTTTGGTCACGAAGCACCGCCTTTCAGCCGCCAAGCCAGTTGAATCAAAGGGTATATGACATCAGATGTCTCTGCAGTTACCTGAATGGAGTCACTTCTAGCGCTAAACGATTTACCACTTTGGTGATCGTAGAATACGGCATCTTCGTCGGATATATTAGAGACAGGATTGACAATCTAGAACGACTATTCTTAACCAATAAGTAACGCAAGAAGCACTTTTTCTCATGAAGTGATTTTAAAAGGAAACTTGGTAAATCTATCGGGGACAACACAAGAAGCTGTAATATTGTGACTGTTGTACTTGTGATTGACGTATATTTCGTTTGCAGAATTGTGACGACGGATATGACCGCGATCTTTGCGCCCACAAGAGCAGAAACCGCTCAGACAAAAAGGCATCACCTTAATTCTCAACTCAGTCACTTTCAATGTCTAAATACTGTCATATGTAAGCAAAAAAACCGTTTGAGTAGAGATGAAAACCCAGAAAATGTGGTTGCCGAGAGGTGCGTACGTGTCACGCCTGATCGCGCCATCGTCACATTTTGGATGCCCTATACCTGCTACAGGGTTTTCAAAAATTCTCTGTCATTTCAGCACAAAATAAACCGCTTTTATCTGATGAACATAGGTAGAAAATCAAAAAATTGATGTGGAATAGTCAAACAATTCACTGTTCGAGTTTTCGACCATCGGGCTATTTTCCTCTACAGAATGGTTGCGAAAATATTGAGTGACACCAACAGCTGATTTTAATAGATTGTGGGTAAGTGCCGTGCGAATTCAAGTTTGCCGGCCAGATATGTACAGCAAAGTATCGATCGAGGGTTCGCTCGGGGCTTGCACTTTGCCTGTGTGACTCACGACGCAACCATCTGCGAGCATCGAAACAAATATTTGACACGCTTTTTCGCCCCCACTACTCAGCACTTTCTGCTTAGTATTACTCTGAAAGACTTTATTTCTTTCCATCTGCTTATTTGAATTATTTCAAGCATTCGCTTACTGTGCGGCTGCCTACTTGCTTTCTATTTATTCAATGCTAAATTTCTTAACTCCATTCTATTGAATGCTAGAAGTTTAATTTAAGTTACTTTAAATAGCCTTTAATCTAAAGCAAACCCGTAGCAATAGACAC